ATAAAATATATTATAAATTACCTGCTTTGAATTTATGCAGTTATTCTTTATTTTGAATTAATAATATTAAAACATAATTAATATTATTAATTGCTATCATAATCTGTCATTTCACTTTCGGGTAATTTCGTTGAGGCATTGCTACATCTATCATCTATTAAATCTTCTTCATCAACAAAATTATTTTGAAATCGTAATAATTCCTCGTCTGTTGCCCTTCTTTTCAATACCTTATAAAGTTTATGTATCCAAGAATTAGTATGAAAATTATAATTACCTCTACGATAAAATCCACCGCATTTACATTGTTTTATAACCATATTAATATATTATATTAAATTAGAATATCTTTATTCATCATTTGTAATTTGAAATGCCTGTTCAAAATTGATATGAAACATGTTGTTAATGTCTTTTGAATTCATATTCACGTAGAAAAAAGAATATGGAGCAAAATTCACTGCTTGATGATACATATCTAATAATTGCTGTTTATCAACAATGGCGCTATTTTCTTCAATAAAACTCATTAGCTCACTGGCATTTTTCAACCTAAAAATATATAATGAACTGGCATTCAAACGAATGATAGGCGCTAAAACATTGTATTTTTGTGTTGAACAAATCACACTTACTGCATCGTGCCTGCCTCTTGTAAATAATCCATGTAATAATTTACTATATCTAACAAATTTAGGGTCGTCTGCGTGGTCATCTATCACAATTAATATTGAATGCAGTTTCTTTATCTTTTTAGATTTCATATAATTAATTATTTTCTTCTGTCTTTCAATTACATTTTCTAAATCACTTGGATTATAATTATCGAAATAAATTTGTTATTTTTCATCATCTACGTGCAATTCGTCCCTGATATATTTTTTATCTTCTGTAAATGTAGGGTCGTTATGGACGCTGGGGGAAAATATAAATATTCTTGCGAATGAATTTCTATAAACATTCAATATTAAATTTTGAATAAGGACAGTCTTCCCGCCCGTTGAACTCGCGACTATAATACTTCTAAATGGTAGTTTTGGCACGTGCTCATATTTAGATTGTTTGAATTCATATTCAGTTATGTTTATTGGTTTTATTATTGGAACATCTGACATAGTTGATATTAAAGAAATATAGAAAATTATATTTAAAAATTAACTTGTAATTATTATTAAATGGAACATCATTTTTATGATATGCTGGTGGCGAATATCATAAAAATGGAACAGGCTTTTCCATTGCTTCAATCAATAAGCATTGAAGCTAATTAGTTTGTATCTCGCTCGCGTGTGCAATGAAAACCCCAAGTGCTGTGCCCCACCAATATTCTATTATGCATGAAAATAATAAGATTAAATAACTATTTTATCTTATTATTTATATGACTATTATCCATTGCAGTTGTGGTAAAACTTATGATGACAAATATTTATTTAAACATCTAAATTCAAAACATCATCAGAAATTTGAGGAATATAGATGGAATAAAGACGATACAATGAAAAAACTTTACAAGAAAAGAAAGACAGAAATGAAAAAATAATTTATCTTATTATTTAATATGAAAAGGAGTTATACAGATTATATTAATATAATAAATGAAATGGAGAATATAGAACGGGTTGTCATAACTGATAATAGATGTAAAAAATATGTTATTTTATTTTAGAATTAATTAAGTTTTTGATACAATATATTAAAAATATAAATATTAATATAAATGGGAAAAAAGAAAAAGAGTAAAAGCAAAGAAAGACCAATACCAGATATTGAAGCACGGAAAGAAACAGCAGAAAGTGTTAAATCACTAGGCGAAAGTAAGACTATAAAATGTGATAAATGTAATCACATAATGAATTTTAAAAATGAATTGACAGTAGATAAGAAAGGTGGAGTTAAAGTTAGTTGTGTCCCATGTATGTTTTCTTATAAAAAAAAACGATAAAGATTTTAATATTCAGAAAAGAACAGATGGTGATATGGTTATTGAAACTAACGAACATTTGATTAATGTTAGTTTTAACAGGGACATAAGTTAGTATTTAAAGAGTAGATTTAACATAATTGCACTTTATAAATATATAATTAAATAAATAATTATCTAAATAAATATATAGTAATGTCTGAAAATGAGAATTATACTATTAATGATTTAATGAAGAAGATAACATTAATTGGTAACAAGATCAAAACCTTAAATGATATGATTAAATCCATTGATGACAAAATGAAACCAGTTGAACGCGAACAACAAAGCAACGAAGAGAAGGAGAAAATCGAAAAGATATTTCAAGCAAAATCTATAGGAAGACCATCGGGCGACTACCCTACAAAGCAAAAGAAATACTGTGATATGTTGAATACAGGAAAAATCAAACAACCAAAGCAACAAACATTAGAGTTTTATAAAATTACAAAACATGATGATGGAGTATATGTATTATTTGAATAATTAATATCTAAATAATTCTAATAAATGAATTTATTAGAATTATTTAGCGGAACAAAAAGCGTCGGAACCATAGCAAAGTCGCTTGGATTTAATGTAATATCATTAGACTTGAAAAATGCTGATATCAACACTGATATTTTGGAGTGGGATTACAAACAGTTTGACAGAAACCATTTTGATTTTATTTGGAGTAGTCCACCATGCACTGAATACAGCATAGCAAAAACTAGGGGAATTAGGAATATCGAATATGCAAATAGTATTGTCTTAAAAAACTATTGAGATTATCAAATATTTCAATCCTAAATATTTTGTAATCGAAAATCCACAAACTGGATTATTAAAACATCAGGAGTTTATGGATGAGTTTGATTTTAAAGATGTTGATTATTGTAAATATGGATTTAATTATAGAAAGAGGACTAGGCTATGGAATAACATTACAACTTGGAAACCTAGAGAATTATGTAAAAAGGATTGTGGCAACATCAGGAATAATAAACATATTGAAACCGCACAGAGACTGCCATCGGGCACCAAGGAAAAATGGGGTGACAATCCAATAATACATAAACAGGAAGATTTATACAAAATACCTAGCGAATTAATTTGTGAAATCTTGGTGAGTTTGACGGATTAAGGATTAACATAGCTTGTTTTTTGGATTAACATAGCTTGTTTTTTGGATTAACATAGCTTGTTTTTTGGATTAACATAGCTTGTTTTTTGGATTTACGGTGGGCTCACATTCTTAAGATATCTGTTATTTTTTGATTCGTCCATAAACCATACTATAATAATAACATTTATACCCTTATATGTTATAATTATAATGAAAGTATAGCGTTTTATATATTGAAGATAAAATCCTACAAGGGACACGCGAGCGTTAGCGAAGCTCGCAAGCTATGCGACCACGCCTAAACAAATATATGATGAAACTGATGAAACGAAGGAGGGAGTGATGTTGTTGCTGTTCTATTTTTTGTCCGGGAAATGGACAAATCGTTTTTAGACAGTTCGAATATTTTTTTGATGACAAATATTTTTTGCAATATATTTTGCAAAATTTCTTTTTTTGAAATGGATGAGGCGAGGAGATTGAGGAAATGACATTTTGGAGGGTAGTTGGTGAAATGAATGAGGCGAGGAGAAAGGAGAAAAGGATGGCGAAAATTTTGGAAAAATGATGATAAAAAAACGGATGAGATGGACAGAAAGGAATGTAGAAAAATGATGAAAACAAATAAGGGTAGAAGATGGAAGATAAAAAATGTAGGGGGGGGTGTACGTATGAAAGCAATTTATTGCTAGGCAAGGCCCTCGACTACTGGCAGCCCCCCCAATGATGGCGGAAGAAGTGATGATTCAAGTAGGGGTGCAATGATTCAAGAAAGGGTGCGATAGAATTTAAAAGGCAGCGGGAGGGTTGGCGGGGGTGGCTTCCCCTATGATTTTCGAAGACATGCATACATACAGACATACATGGATTACACAAATTACCTAAAATGTTGTATTTTGCAGCATTTTCTCGCGAAATTGGACGCTCGAAAAAGTGATGATTCAAACAGGGGTGCAATTCAATCTCTGCAAGAAATCTAAAAAGTAACGGGGGGGAGGCGGCAACCCCCCCTCATGATGTTTGAAGAGTTGATTCAAATAGGAGTGCCATTACTCTGCAAACAATCTAAACAGTAGCGGGTGGGTTGGGGGGGGGGTTCCCCCCCATGATGTCCGAAGAAGTGATGATTCAAATAGGGTGGTGGTGATGCTGATGATGCGGGAAGCCAAATCCAAAAACCAATGAAAGGGCGCAAGCCGCCAAAAGCCGCCAAAAAACGCATAAACCAGCGAAAAGCCGCAAAAACCCAAAATGCCACCTGCCGAAGAGGAACTGGGAATGCAGAGGATGCGAAAAGCCAAAAAGCTACCAAAAGCCGCATAAACCAGCAAAAAGCCGAGAAGGTCAAAAGCCCAGAAGCCGAGAAGCCAAGAAGCCGAAAAGCCAAGAAGCCAAGAAGCCAAGAAGCCAAGAAGCCAAGAAGCCAAGAAGCCAAGAAGCCAAGAAGCCAAGAAGCCAAAAAGCCAAGCCAAGAAGCCAAGAAGCCAAGAAGCCAAGAAGCCAAGAAGCCAAAAGCGAAACAAAAATCCCAAAACAAAACGAAAAAAATCCTAAAATAAATACCCCTCCAAAAACAAATGCGCCGCACCACCAAAGCAATAGCTACAAGTCCTTGCAGACCCCCCCAGCCCCCGCAGCCCCTGTTTCGTCACAGCGGGCATTGGTTTGCGGTCCAAACCCTTGCCTGTAGCCACCCGAACACGTCCTCATTGTTTGAAAAATGCGTCCCGACGGCATGAGTTGCAGAAGACATGTGGCAATGGGTCAAAATCCCGTACCCCCAGTGAACATCCCAATCCCAACTAAAATAGATTAGCATGGGTGGTGCACCTACCCCAAAATGGTACCATTGGTTTTGACCCACAGCTTGCTCCCCAGTGCACCCCTCGAAAAAGAAAAAAAAGTCGGACGACCTTGGGTCCCAGCCAGTCTCCGAGGCTGCACACGCGGACACCGAGTCGTGTGGCTCTACCTGCGTCGCATAGCCAGCCTAACTGATTGACTCCGCCTAAGGCGACGAGAATCAACAGAAGGCGATTTGGGCGTCGGCTGGTTCTGGAAGGTGAAGCAAAGTAATTACGTCTTTGGGCAACTTCCGCACCGCCGCTTTTGGATCCCACGGCCATCGCCTCGCTGTTCGCCGTGGCTGCAGCCTGAACACGGTGACACACTGCACTCCTCCCACTGACACCCGCAGTCCATGGCAGAACTCCCGGCCAGGCTCAAGCTGAATCCGTCTCATCCAAAACCAAACTGCCCAACCGCGGGCCCCCATCTGAATCGGTCCAAATGCCCAAACCATCAGAACCCAAGGCCAGACCCGAATCAAACCAAGCCGATGCCTCGCACTCCTCCGGGTCTGGCTCCGGCTCTTCCACCGTGTCCTTGGGCCTGAACCAGCCGAAACACCTCCGAGTTTGCCCGGGGAAAACTCGCCCACAGGTTGGGCGTTTTGCCCCGCGCTGATACCCAAAGGGCCCCAAAAAAAAGAAGTCAGATCCATGTGGTCTCTTCCGAGAGAGGTTTCAGAGGTGCTGCTTAGGCTTTGAATCTACCACCCCTATGCGTGGACCAGGGTTCTTCCATGCTTCGTTTGTTCTGTTGCCTGATAATCCATCAGTTTGACATAGTAATTACAGCTACAAACATGATCCAGAAGGCATCATGTCATGCCCCGCGCCGCCTCAAAGCCCGCGGGCTCGAGTCATCAGGAACGTGTCCCTGACCTCTGCAGTAGGGCTCCAAAGAGACACTTCTTATTTCAGACTGGCCCACCGGAGGGATTCCATGGCCACTCTCCAACTTCCCTCAGGCGGCCGGTGTCAATCGCTTTTGCAACCCGGAGAGTCCTTCGGCCGAAGCCACGTGGCCCAAAATGAAACGACCAGGGTTCCTGGTGGGCTTTAGGTCTTCCATTTACCAAGGTGCCAGTTGGGCTCCATTTTTTGGAGCCACTGCCATGGCCCAGCTCAAGGTCTCAAAGCCATTCCTCTCGCAAGGCTAGGGATCCGAGAGCTCCCGACCCACCCCGCCTAGCTGCGAGAAGGGCGGCGGTGGAAGAGAAGGCGCCTGGAGAACGAGCGCTGTCTCTCTGTTTTCAAAACTCCATTGCCAAGTTGCCTCCAGATTGCACATGCCCCTTTTACACACTTGGGGAAATGAATCCAAAAGATTGCGAAGCGTCCGATTCCCTTGATTGGAGGCTTCAGATGCCTTGCAATATGCGAAAGCGCTTCGCATGTCGCAGGGGACTGGACCTGGGGAGAGGTTCCCTTGGTAACTGGCCAAGTGCTTCATCGCCGGAAGGGAGCTACCAGCATTCTGCGAATCTCTTGCATGTCGAGTGGCCATGTTGCCTTCGTGAGGGGCGGGCGTGCCATTTGTATCGAACAAGGTGAGGCTCTGAGCCATGCCAGTGCTATGTCAGTCAAAGCTCGCACATTGCCTCCTCGACCTCTGGCACGCCACCTCAGTGAGAGGCAGGAAACCGAGCGTCTGGAAACTTGGAATCTATCAGCAATAGACCCTTCGAATGAGATCACAGGGACCACGCCCAGCCCACGTGATGCAAGTTGGAGTCTTGAAAGTTTACTGAACGATGGCATCCAGGGCCTTTCTGCCCCTTCCTCCAACTCAACATGAGCAAATCAGTGCGCCAACAGAGCGCTGCTATTGGTAGCTGCATTTGAGCCGGCTGTCAAACACGAAGCCCCCTGCTTGGCTGCCTTTTGGCCGCACTGCCCACCGGAAAGCTCGTGCGGGCAACATCCTTTTGGATCGAAACTCTGCACGTCTTACACCGTCCCCACTTTGTGGAAAGATGTTGATTCAGAATGAACCAGAGCAAACAAAATGTGTTTAGCCTCTTTGTTTGGAGAGGCGACCAACCCCGATGCGGTGTTCTTCAATAGGACGTGTGCCGGGAATGTGTATGCAATCAACCATGACACACAGTGCATGTGCTTTGTGTCATGTGCCGCTGCGCTTCAGGAGCCTTGCGCTTCAGGAGCTTGGCACCTGCATCAACCTCTAAGTCGTTTCGGCCACTAAGCCGGGCTTCCCTGCGGAGCCTCTGCCTGGGCTTCGAAACGACACAGGCCTACCGAGAAATGCCGCGCGGCTCACTCCCGCAGAAGACGCCCCTTATGGCAAGGAAAGTGAAAAACCCATGCCCTTTTGTAGCTTTGAGGTGCAAGGCAGTACCCAGTGGACCCAGTTGCTGCTTTTGCCCCCACTCATTTAACCAATGCAACAATCGAACTGCGCGCCCAGGCGCACCAGAGGACACTCGCTTAGGATAGGCCTAAAGTAATGCTGTGAGCGGAATACCTGGAAGCGTACAACCTCCGCACCGTGACATCAAATGCTGCAGTGCAAGAAACAACTGCGCAGCTGTTGATGACTCCAAGCTCTACATGGGTGATCGTCAAACTGGCGATGTGTACTTTTCATGTCTCCCATAGGAATCCTCCTGTTGCTTTACCCACATCGTTCAAACATCTGCATCCTACTGCCACCAAAATACCTAATGACCATCCTGGCATGCTCCCACCTGCATTGAAAACTCACCATGAGCCTCTCTTGACATGGTGAATGTCTCTTCCTCAGCAGCCAACACGGCTTAGTTTCGGGCAGCTTAGCTTCATTTCTCGCAAACGGGATATCTGCATCCAAGGCACGTGGTCTCAGGAGCCTGAGACTAGGGACCCGGTGCTTGCTGATTTGGAAGCGGTTTGAAGCAGTTCTCCAACGCGGAAAGTTGGCTTTGAAAGCTAGTGTCAGGCTCAAATGATGTTGAAGCTTTGCACGAATCTAATAGACCGGAGGGAGTCTCCATAAAAAGGCAACGCAGGGACGACTTGAACGGCAGAAATGAGGGCGCCACAAAATGAAAGACCCTCAAATCAGGTCACACGTGCGTAAGACGTGTCGCATGCGACATCGCAAAATGAAAGCATGTTCTGGGCATTGCCTGGACAACTGGAGCAATGCCAAGGTAAGCAGCTGATGTTGAAAGACAAACATCCTATTGCAGTTTTGGTACCATGACAAAAGAGACCTCCAAGCCATTCGTTGCTTGCGACCAGCCTACTTTGTGCCATGACTCCGTTTGCCAGCAAGTTGAGTCAATTCCACTTGATTCCGTTTGAGCCAGACTCCTGCCATACAGCACGACCCTTAATTTGCCCCGTGCCAAAACTTCTTTTTTTCTCGGGTCGCCAACGCCAACTTTCTGTGCCCCCTGAGTCGCCCAGCCAGTGGCTCCAGCGCTGGCTCCGCTGGCGTTGACGCTGCGGTTGTCCCGGGCGGCGTTGTGGCAGGCGTTGCCGCTGGGGTTGTTGCTGGCGGGGTGGTTGCTGCCGGGGTGGTTGCTGGCGGGGTGGTTGCTGGCGGGGTGGTTGCTGGCGGGGTGGTTGCTGGCGGGGTGGTTGCTGGCGCGGTTGTCGCCGGTGGCGTTGCCGCTGGAGGCTTCTCCGCTGGCGTTGTGGCAGGCGTTGCCGCTGGGGTTGTTGCTGGCGGGGTGGTTGCTGCCGGGGTGGTTGCTGGCGGGGTGGTTGCTGGCGGGGTGGTTGCTGGCGGGGTGGTTGCTGGCGGGGTGGTTGCTGGCGCGGTTGTCGCCGGTGGCGTTGCCGCTGGAGGCTTCTCCGCTGGCGTTGTCGCGGGCGTTGGCGCTGGCCTGGTTGCAGCTGCAACCAAAAACAAGAAACCAAACACCCAAAGCAAGAGCTGTCCGTCGTTTACACCAAGCTGCAATCGCTCATGACTGTGGTTCAAATAGGGGAGGTGATAGGCACAATCCAAAACAGTGAACGCTATGACCATCCAACCAATAAACAAATAACCAGCATTTAGAAGCAGGAACGCGGCATCTCCGGGAGAGTGGGGTCAGGGAGAGTAGTATTCCCTGGCTTCAAGGGTTGATGAAGTTCCAGGCCACTTGCTTCTTCTAACACCAAAGCTTCAGGCCGACACACGGTCGTGGCGGAAACAGCACAACGAACCACAACACACGCCCCCCATTCCTTGCCTCTCCTCCAGAGGGCCTGGCAAGGGAGCATCGGGACTGTTCATCGCCTGAGTGTGACCTGTTGCGTTTGCTGTCAACCCGTTCCTTTCCTAACGCCTCGACGTTCCCCGGTTGCGGCCTTCCTTGCGCTTCTGGTTCCAGGTACTCGTGCGAGCATGCGCTTGCGCATGCACATGCACGTGTGCATTTGCGCGCCCGTGCGCTCGCACGTGCGCAGGCGTCTGTGTGTGTGTGGATGTGTGCGCGCGAGCGTGCGCACACATGTGTGCGTGTGCGTGCGCGTGTGCGTGTGCGTGCGCCTCTTGCATGTGCATGTGTGTGTGTGTGTTAGTTGGGTGTTTGGTAGGGCACTAGGATCAGGCTCTTGGTAGGGCACTTGGATCAGGCTCCGGGTAGGGCACGAGGTTCAGGCTCTGGGTAGGGGCATTTTTTTTGGGACGCCTTTTTTTTCCGGCCCGCGGCCATGTCGGGGCAGGGCAACTTCGCGGAGGCCTTCGGATCGTCGCCGTTTCTCATCTTCGTCTGTTTTTTTTTCCTGGGCAGGACCAGTCCTGGGGAGGCTGGTTAGCTAGATAGGTAGCTATCTAGTTTAGTTTAGTTTAGTTTGGTTTGGTTTAGTTTCGTTCAGTTTAGCTTAGATTTTTAGTTTAGTTGATTAGCTAGCTAGTTTAGCGTATTGAGTGAGATAGTTGGCTCGTGAATTCGGCGGTTGCTTAGGTTAGCGAAAGCTTGGCTTAGCTGGTCAGCTAGCCAGCCAGCCAGCCAGCCAGCCAGCCAGCCAGCCAGCCAGCCAGCCAGCCAGCCAGCCAGCCAGTCAGTCAGTCAGTCAGTCAGTCAGTCAGTCAGTCAGTTCGTCAGCCAATGAACCAGCCAATCAGCGAGTGTCTGTTGCGCGTTACTGTGTGTGTATATGTGCCCAGTACTACGTGTGTTCACGCGCGTGTGTGTGTGTGTGTGTTCGTGCGCTCATGTTTGCGTATGTAAATATATGTATATATGTATGTGTGTTTATGTGTGTTTGTGGTTTCGCGTGTGCGCGGTTGCTTGCGCACGCGTTTGCATATTTGTGTTTGTGCGGTTGCACTTGTGTTTTTGAGCGAGTGCGTTTACGTGCGTTCGAACGTTTGGGTCCCTGTGCGCGCGTTTGCGCGCGCTTCTGTTTGCCTTCGCGTGCGCCTTCGTGCGTGGGAAGGCGCATGCTTGCATGCGTCTGCGCGTGGTCTTGCAAGCTCGGGCATGCGGGCGCGGAGGTGGGCGCGCACCTGGGTGTCGAAGCGGGCACAGGCGGGAGGCGCGCGTGCGATCAGCGCATGTGTGTAGGCACGTGCGCACGCGCATGGGTGTGAGGGCTGGAATTGCCTGCGTTTTGCGTGGGGGAGTCTTTGCGTCAGCGTGTGGGCCTGCGTGTGTGTGTGTGTGGGCGGGTGCGACTGGTCTGCCTGTGTGTTGGTGCCAGCGTACGCGCGTGCGTGCGCGCGTGCATGCGTGCGTGGGTAAGTGCGTGGCTGGGCAGGAGCTTGGGCGGGTGCGTATGTGTGTGTGTGTTTGTTTTACTTGCGTGTGCGTGTGTGTGCACGCGCATGCGTGGGCTGCGCTTGTGAGCTTATTTGCGTCTGTGCACTCGTGTGTACGTGCGTACGCGTGTGGTGCGCTCTGTGTGGTGTGGGGGCGCACGGGGTGCGGTTGCGTGGTGTGATGCACGTGGCACGCGGCATGTGGCGCATGATGTGGCGCGTGGGGTGCGTGTGGTGCGTGTGGCGCGTGCGGTGCGTGTAGTGCGTGTGGTGCCTGCGGTGCCTGCGGTGCAGGGCGTGTATGCGTGTGTGTGTACTGTGTTGCGTTGTATTACGGCGTGTTTCGAGGTGTGTCTGCGGTGTGTCTGTGCTGAGCGTGTGTGTGTGTGTGTGTGCTGTTTGCTCTGTGCTGTGTGCTGTGTGTTGTGTGTTGTGTGTTGCGTATTGTGTGTTGTGTGTTGTGTGTTGTGTGTTGTTGTGTGTTGTGTGTTGAGTGTTTAGTGTTGTGTGTTGTGTGTTGTGTGTGTGTTGTGTGTTGTGTGTTGTGTGTTGTGTGTTGTGTGTTGTGTGTTGTGTAGGGTGTTGAGTGTTGTGTGTTGTGCGTTGAGTGTTGTGTGTTGTGTGTTGTGTGTTGTGTAGTGTGTGTTGCGTGGTGTGTGTGTGTGTTGTGTGGTGTGTGCTGTGTGCTGTGTGCTGTGTGCTGTGTGCTGTGTGCTGTGCGCTGTGTGCTGTGTGCTGTGCGCTGTGCGCTGTGTGCTGTGTGCTGTGTGCTGTGTGCTGTGTGCTGTGTGTTGTGTGCTGTGTGTTGTGTGTTCTGTGTGTGTGTGTTGTGTGTTGTGTGTTGTGTGTTGTGTGTTGTGTGTTGTTTGTTGTGTGTTGTGTGTTGAGTGTATGTGTGTGTGTGTTGTGTGTGCGTGTTGTGTGTGCGTGTTGTGTGTTGCGGGGTGTTGTGTGTGTGTGTGTGTGTTGTGTGTTGCGGGGTGTTGTGTGTGTGTGTGTGGTGTGCGTGTGTGTGTGTGGTGTGTGTGTGTGTGTGTGCGTGTGTTGTGTTGTGTCTGTGTGTGCTGTGTGCGTGTGTGGGTGTGCGCGTGGCGCGTCGTGCAGGGGTGAGTGGGTGGGTGGATGGGGGGGGGGGGGGGTGGAGGGGTGTGTGTGTGTGTGTGTGCGTGTGTGTATTTGTGTGTGTGCGTGCGCGTGCGCCTGTGCTTGTCCGTGCGCGTGCGCGTGTCTGTGTGCGTGTGCGTGCGCCAGCGCGTGAGCGGCTTGCGGGTGGGGTCGCGTGTGCGTGCGTGTTGCGATCTTTCTTTTCCTTTGCAGTGAAGTGTTCCACGATGAACTTCTGCGCCTGCTTGTGCG